AATATGAATAAAAATAAAAAAATAATAATTCTAGAGATAAAGATAATCGGGACTATAGAAAAAAAGAAAATTACTGATAAAAATAAAAAAAGAGAAATAAATAATTAAAAATAATAAATAAAATATTCAGAAATAGATTTTTTGGAGCAAGTAATCTAAAAATAAATAAGAATAACTATAAATAATTAAATATAAATAAAATAAAGAAGACCAGAAATAGATCGAGATAAAAATTATATAGAATAAGAATAAATATAAATAATCATATATAGGGATAAATTAAGAGAGATATAGAGATAAATAAAGAAAAAATTCTATATTCAGAATATATCGTATGAGATAATTATAAAATCGAAATTTTGAATCAATATATAAAAGATTTGTTTGCATGCAGACCCCGAGATTATGAATATCATCTATATATTTCAATATAAGCATGCCCCCGTCCAAATTCTCAGAGATAGATCTAGCAAGAGACAAGGAGAGATCTCTTAGAGAAACGCCCAAAGAAATAGATATAAATATATAATCAAAGATATATCGAGAGATATATATAAATATCCAGAGAAATATTTGCGTTCAGAAAATACGACACTACAATTGGCGATAGAAAATTTTCCCCAAATATATCTCAAAAAATTTCAATAATAAAAAAAAGGCGAATTTACAACCAATTCGATATCATTTTATAAGCCACCCACACAACTATATACGCACTCATAGACCCACAGAGAGACGTATAAACAGATAGATAAATGCAAACATCCACTCAGAGAACCCGCATAAACATACATAGAGATACCCGCATATAGACGCACACATACAGAGACATAGACAAATTAACAAACACACGTATCTCCATGCATTCACAAGGCACGGCACTAGAGCTCGCTATACTAAAATTTCAACAATATTTTTTACCTCGAAGCATATCCCCAAACCTTCACAACAACCCAAATTCTAATCTAAAACTACGAAATTTCCTAAAGCTGCCAAAATATAAGAAATTTTAATTTCGAGAAAGACGTGCTCCCAGTACTTAAATCTCCGATATTTTATGATCGTGAGATAAGTATGTAAGAGGCTTGCATTAAGAAGCGCACCAGAAAACGAGATTACAGGGGCCAGGGACGCGCACGCACTTTACAAAATGCAGACGACCAGCACAATAATATATAGATATTAACATATTCTAGTTGTAAACTATTGAACAATACGAGATTTATTTTATTAAAAAAATAAGTAGAATTAATTCGGCTAACCTCCGTGTCTCCAGTAATATTATGAGAGAATTGGACCGCGGGAGGGGCGGTCGTAACGAGATCCCATTTATAGAATATCTATATTCGTAAAGTTTCAGATATGCTATATATTGTTATATGAAAATTGATTGGTATGTAAATATCATTTTTCTGGAGTTGCAAGCATTTTCGCATTGTCTCGTGGGCAAAGGTCGAACCGATCTGGATGCGGAGTCTAAAACAAGCCCTGCTCCTCGGAAGATGGTAGTGAGGCACAGGTATTTTCGACGACAAACACTGAAACCAATTGTCGCGGGCATTCTGTCCTTCTTCTTGTTGTCCCGCTTCCATTTTGGAAGCTTGGCAAAGGCCTCCTTGTCCATCCCAAACCTGAACACCGCACCGCACCCACAGCAACAGAACCAGCAGCTCGGGTGTGTGATGTTCACACTATGCGGTAGTGACATTCGTCAATTTACTTACAACACGAATGCTGACTGTGCGGGCGGGTGGCTGTCGTCACCACAGCAACTGTTGCACCAAAGAGACACAATCCGAACAACCACAAAAGGTAAGCTCGTCACAGTGTCTCGAAGACGTCATCTCTGAGGTATCGTTCTCGCTCCGTCGCAACAACATTCTTCTCCTCTCGGTACATGGCGAGTGCGGGTTGAATTCAGACTGCTACGAACGGTACGGCAAGCCAGTGAAGCCACTTCGCAGGGGATCCTTGAAACGAGCACCGACTGAAGTGGTTACAGGTAGCTGTTGAGAATCACTGGCACTCTTACTGCTGTCTAGAGGCCGCACGATGATACTTCCTCGCATGCTGCCGCGTCAGGCATAAGGAGTGTCTCACACATACCTGAAGGCGATTCCTGAAAAAAATGTCACCCGAAGCCTGAAGCCAAAAACCGTGGGAGCCTTTGCAAAGCCCGTTTCGCACCTTCCAGAAACTGGAGTCTTGTAGCTCCTGCAGGCCTGGCGTAGCTGGTGCAAACAGCTCATGAGCCATTTAGGGTTTAGGGTTTTTTTAAGGGCCTTTTTCCCACAGTACCGTGTCCGCAGGGGAGCCCACTAGGGCAGGCAGGTTTGCACCGTTGGCCACCGGGTTTAGGGTTTAGGGTTCAAACAAGAGAGATGCAAGCCAAGCCGCAACTCCGAAGAAAAAACAAAAATCCTGAACTCCCACCCAATCCGAGAGACCACCCAGATGCTCAGGGCTGGGCTGAAAAACTCCGTCACAATCGCTGCACTTTGAGGCTGTGATGGAGCCACGCCTGCAACCTCGTGCTCCACGAGCTTCTAATCTTCTTGAAGCTTACAGCCTTGGGTATAGGTTTAGCGGCTTGGGTTAGCATTTGGGATCCTGAGCCACCAGCTTGGGATTTGAGGAGCCGACTCGCTCAAGCGTATTGGGCTGTTGAGTTGAAGGCCGATCGAAAGTACGACAACAGTCCATGCAGTAAAAAGCGCCGATACTGCCAGCGCAATGCTCGCTCGATGATGCTGTGCTGTAGAAGACTCTGCCACCTCTGCTCGCAACCATCGACTGAACCTGCTTCCAGTTGCTGGTAAAGGAGTTTGGTCTGCAAGCCACCTGGTAGCTTGGAATAGCCTTGACTTCATGGCTCAAGCATCTGTATGAAAGGGGTACTGAACCTACCGATTTAACACAACTCTGGCTCTCCAACAATGTCCTCTTTAGACTTAAGAGGTGTGGAGCAGGTTCTCGTGCTTTCCTCCATGCCATCATTACGGGTGATCACGTTCCAGATGCTCCAGTCTGCCTTGCGGAGACCCGGGACGAGCACGACAGAGGAGAGTGGCTTGACCACAACCATCCACAACCCAGATCTGACTTTAGTGGTGTCAAACACAACCTTGCATGGAAGACTTGCAGCTTGCAGGATGTCTGCACAGCATGTAAGCGCAGGGTAGCGATGGTTGTTTCTGAACTTTGACCGAACAGCACATGCTCCACCTGCCTCAACCCGGTGTTCCCCTTGAAGGCTAAGCAGCAGCTTGAGGCTTGGCATCGAAGACAGACTTCTCGTCCATCTTCTCCTTCTCTTTGAACCTGGGCTTTGGCCCTATGTGTGGCTTGGTGTGGGATTTCACGGCTTTGATCCTTTGTCGGCTCAAGCTCTGGGATTCTAGAGTGTTGGCTGCGGGAGGATCCCTCACAACACTCTCAGGAGGCGGATACAAAGGAATTCATCCATGCCTGCCATGCCTCGCCTCAGAGGCTGACTCAGAGGTCAAAATTTAAGCAACTGCTTGGACAAGCCGTGGAAGAAAAGAGACCGTAAGCTGTCGCTGTTAAGGCACAGTGGGGAGGTCTGCGCGTAGCCTCCGCCTGACACAGGGACTGAAACAGCAGACATCGAAGGAGCCCGAAACTGCGATCCGACATCTCCTATTTTATTGCATGACATCTCAAGTCTCACGGAGCACCCACTCCCTCTCGACCCCTCGACCTTGCAATCCGCACCCGTATGACGAAGCCAAACCCCTGGACAACGGGCCATATCTTTACGGAAGGCAGAGGTGGTTGGTCGGGTGGGCGGGCGGGCGCGCGGGCGAGCGCAGGAAACGTCCTTGTTGGCGTGCGAAGTCTTGGACATGTGGTCGGCTTTAATTGAAGCGAGGCGTTGTAAGTATCTACAAGTGACACCCTGCTTTTCAGCACTTCAACAACAGTGTCCCTAATGTGAACACGTGTGCTCAAGCATCTCGAATCATGTGGCAGGCGTGGTACCTTCCTTGTGAAATCGCCCAGCGCGTCTCCGATCTGACCCACCCAGCCACCCAGCCACCCACATCTGCCAAAGACGACTTCCAATCCAGAGACCTCGTGCTGTCAGCACTCCACTTCTCCTCGATCTTCCTGCTCAACTTGCGGCGTCCTCTCCCTCACAGACCTCCTATCGATCTCTTATCGCATTCGGACAGCAGGTTTTTTGACAGCCAGTTCCGCAAGCAGAGCGCGCTGCGCCACATGCGCTTCGAGGCCAGAGCCGTCAAAAGCTCCGGATCCCAACACACAGCCAGATGGGTCTGCTCAACACACAAAAAAGCCTACACTGCCGGGCCTACGCCTAGGCCAACGTCACTTCGTGCAGTTGGGCTGGGCGCCTTACTGTACGGACATGTGGTGGAGCTGAGCCCATCTATCATCTCGACGAACACCCTCACGCCACCCAAAGTGGCTGAAACGGAGAAACCCGCGCACTGTTTAAAGATACGCGATGAAACCCTTGCCCCTTGCCACTGCCGTGTTCGGCGGGCGGGCCAAGTCTAAAGCGGGCGTCCGCAGAGCATCGGCACCGCAAAGAGTGCCAGTATACAGCTCGTTTCCAGTGACTTTTCCGATCACTACACTACACACCACACCGCTCTCTCTTACACCGCACTGCTCAGATGCTTCTAAGTTCATCAGAGCTGTATGCATTCTACGGACAATGCCCGTGCTCAGCTTCTCAGACTGCGGATGCGTTGCCTTGGAGCCAACCAGCTCGCAGTCCTTAGCTGCAAACCGACCCGCCCGGGCAAGGAAGTGTGCACGGCAATCCGGCGACCGACTCCCAAATGCCAGGTGTCCGAAATCCTCCCTTGGCAACAGCACGGTGAGATGGAACAAGCACCCAAAGTCCTGCAGCCCTCAGCCTAAACTGGCCAAGGGACACCCTCGTCCCACGTGTAATAGAATCGCATATGTCCAGGAGGCGTGTTACTTTGGCCTCCCTTCGATCCTGGCCCAAGCGCCATGCTCAACACGGGTGGGAAGTGGCGGCTTCACGCCAAGAGCTTCATGACTGCTGAGACTACCTGCCTGTGCTCAGTCTCCTCGCGCAGCTTGTCCTTGAGATCTTCGAGCTGCTCTTCACGGAGCTCTCGACCACATTCTTGTCGCACGAGGATCTCCATGCACTGGCGGTGGCCTAGCGCACGGACACCACTCGAAAAGTACGGGACGGCCATACACAACAACCCTTCATCATCTCTCTTATTCATCGGCCATGCACGAGAGCTGCCAGGAGAGCGAAGCGGCTGTCCCACATGCCTACAGTCGACCTAAACCGTCTTTAATTGCAGCCTCAGGCGCGGGACCAGCGCCACGACATCGAGTCCTCCGCAGGGCCTTGCTCCGGATCATGGCCTGATACAAGGTGAGCTGCTTCCATGCTTGCCTTGGCGGCCCAGGCGCACTCAAGAGGTACGCAAGCAAGACTCCTAGACACAAACACTCGTGCTCTCAGCACTCCACTTCTGCTCGATCTTCCTGCTCAACGGGCGGCGTCCTCTCCATCACAGACCTCTTATCGATCAGTAGGCAGGCATACATTCTGCGAATAAACCAACTTTGCCTAGGCACTTCAGTTGGAGTTGGAGTGCCGTGGTCAGTCACCAGAGCCGGGCAAGCTGCAGCAAGACGAGCAGGCAATCTAATTCCATGAGAAGAATCTGTCTGCCGCTTCTGTACCGGCCTCATCGAGCGGCTGACACTACCAAATCATGCAAGATCCTGGAAGAACTCCAAGCACCACGAACCTAGGGGAAATAAAGCCCTGAAGCTTCAGAATACATCTCCAATGCTTGCGCCTGGAGCGCCGGGCGCTCGTACTTAAAATCTGCAAATGTCGACTCTTTCAGTTTCAAAGAGACCAGAGAGATAAAGATCTTGAAGGGTACATCGACACCTTTGCTGAGGACGGCTAGCGGCTTGCCTCGGGCCCTAAGCATTGAGTCCTGAGGGTCCGACACCACAACTGCAAATCATGACAGAGCAGGTACGTGACGGTTTAGGGTTTAGGGTTAGGGAATCATGACAGTGCAGGTACGTGACTTGGATTCCCGTGGCCTTCACCGCGTGAGGGGCTGGTTGGCTTCAGCGGCGAAGGAGGGCCGAAGCCCGGCAGGGCGATGCCGCCTCGCGAGTCTCATGGTGACTACTCCTGGTATGAGACAATCACGGGGGCATTATTACCATGAGCCTGAAATAATAAATAAGGTATCACGAGCCTCGGCCGCATGATTTGCTCATGGCTGCGGTATTATCATTATCCTCCGAACCGTTCTTGCCATCATGATTGGAGACTGGCCGCCGTCATGATTCTCATTGATAGCATGACGAACATTGAAGAACAAGGTGTTGAGGAGCGCCCCTTTCGAAGTACCGGTGGTGGAGGCGGTGGTGGTCGTCGTCGCGGAACGTAGTGGTAGTAGTCCCGGTTGTGGCAGTAATGGCAGTGGGGTAGTGCTAGTCGTCGTGGTAGTGGTCGTGGGAGAGGCAGGGTAGTGGTCGTGGTAGTGGTAGCCGCAGTGGTAGCATGGCAGTAGCTTGGCAGAAGCAAAAGTCTTAGCAATAGTTGCTGCTGTTGTGTCGCCGGTGCGGTGGCACTGCTAGCCCCAATGATTGCTTTCATGTCTGTGCAGTGTGTGCTCCTTCTCGGTGGACTTGTAATCTCGAGAGACCCGAACGGATATACCCTACGCCCTAGGTCGCCCATGGCACACAATGAAAAACCAACGACACTTCAAAGAAGGAGACGCTGCAGACACTTGCCGGCATTGTCTTAACGAAGAATCCGCAATACTCTGCGCAAAATCTCTGCTATCCCCAGCTTTCGGCTTTCCTGTGTGCCAACTCGTCGCACCTGCAGGAGGCCTCGGTCCTGTCGCTTTGGGTGCTGGGGACGCTTCCTCGGAAACGACTGCCCGGGGGGCCTCAGACAAGTGCCAGGCTTCGCATCTAAAAAGGGTGCAGGCCCTTGAGACGGCTCTGATCTAGACGTGCCTCTAAAGCATCAATCAGCCGCATTGCGTCGCTGCGGATCCTGGCCCTAGCCACTCGGTTGGGGTGGTGGTGCCATATCTGAAAGTCGTCCAACAATGTCAACTAGCTTCGACCCCCTAAGAGTGGGCTGTCGTCGAGCCGGACTTGAGATAACTAATTCAGCATTTCAGCTGCTGGTTTCCTCACCGAATGCCAACGAGGCACTCCGAGATCGTCTTCCAAGTCGTCGTCATCACCAGCTTCCTTGGCTTCTTCAAAAACTGATGCTGAAAGCCAGGCTCAGCCAAGAACACCGATGACAATTCAATGCCCCAGCAGCGCTAGAGACTAACTGCACTGATCAAGAGGAAGACCGCCGGCAAGTAGCTACATTGAATCCCGGCGAAGTATTCATGTCAACAACACCAATGACGGTGACGGTGCAGAGACGCCCAAAGTTGTCTGCCACAAAGCCAAAGTGTAGCCGAGCCTGCAGAAATATCCAGCCAAGCAGCTGCCATGGAGACCTCCATGTCACCGGCAAAGCTGCGCACGTTCTCCACGACAGAGGCCTGTCCAAAAACGCAATACTTCTCCATGACCCTCGAAAGAACCTGCGACTCGGCCCATCACAAGACTCCTACATCGCCACAGCATGGTATGCCTTGCTTGAGTAGTTCTGTTGCGAATGGATGCGGGGATGACCGGAACCCAAAGAAGCTTCGGCCTTGAAGGTGGAGGTCTTCATCTTCTGCTTCACGGCCACTCCTAGCTTTCGGCATAATGTTGCCGTCGCGGCTCAACCATGCGCAAGTCGGAGGGACCGAGATGCTACCAGTAGCACAAGAGCGGTAGACCTTTCTGCTTTGGCTGAGGGATGGGAAGTTGGCAGCATACAGCACACATCCAGCATCTGAATTGAAGTTCAAGTAGGTTTCACCGACGAACCGATTGGGTACTCGGATATGGGCACTCCTACCAGTACGGTTTATTTCTGGACACATGCGGGATCATGTGGGAAGGTCTAGGGGAGAGTAATCACGGATCGCGAGCTTGCACGTCCCGTATTGCAAGGTAGGATTGCGTTTTTGAACGACCCTTTTTCCATCCTGCAAGGTAGGGTTTAGGGTTTAGGCCAAAGGAGAGGGACGCGGAAACTTCCACAGTAGTAGGGAAGGCACACGTGGCAGCCGAACAACTGCAGCAGAATACAACAGATTGCGCTTCCGAGTTCAGATGTGTGCTTTCACAAATGGACTGCCTTTCTGCATAAAAAACGTTTGTAGTGAGTAGAGTTTTAGCTATTTTTGAAATCCAGCCGTGCATGCAACCTCCCCGGTTGCACCCGGTACTTCACCGAATTTCCCCGCAACCTGTTGATCACTTCCTGCCTGTTTTGCTTGCAGTTTGACCGCAGCAAGCCCAGGCCCATAGAAACCAAGAGAAGCACGTCTAGCATGGTGAGATATTCATGCGAAACTCTGAGCATGATCCACATACACATCATCGAAGTTCGGCGAAAGTTACGTGCGTCATCGAACATGCATGTCAGGCGGCACTTAGTTTGCGTTCTCATGCGGTGTTGCCAAATGCTGATTCACAGATTAGCCCTCAAGTCTTGTAACCTGCGGCTGCCCTACGCCCAAGCGGATGTAAGGTGCCTCACAGTTGAGAAAGTCGAAAACATCGACTGAGCAAACAAGACTCCGCCAATCCGATTTGGTGTAATGTTCCTGCCAGGTTATGATGCTGCAAGCAAGGCAAGCAAGGAGCCCAACAACATCGGCATCCGAATGATCAGGGCGCGCTGGGATTTGACTAGCCTTTCCACCGTTCGCCCTCGGATCCAAATTGACCCAGTCAGGTCTTTTTGGACCTCTTCGTGCATGGAGAGAGCCAAATCCTGTCAAAACGAATCACCTCAATTCCATGTGCGGAGTGGAAGCAATGTAGCATCTGCATTCATCTTGATTTGCCCCCCAACAGCTTGAGCCTTAGCAGTGAGAGATGTCGGTTCTTGGAGGTTCGGAGCAGATGTGGACAGGTTGGAAGGAGCACACGCGACTCCATTGGGCTCCAACCCTGCAGGCAAACCGCAGTCTCCTTCTGGCAGCCAGGTGATGAAGACCAGCCTGTTTCCTGCAACAGATGGAATGACATGTCCCAAGGAAAGGATTCAGGGTTTAGGGTTTGGGTTTAGGGTTTAGGGTTTAGGGTTTAGGGTTTATGGTTTAGGGTTTAGGCAGGCCAGGAGCGCTGGACTTGGGGTGTTGAGAGGTAGGCTCTTGCTTTTGTTCGACTGCCGAGGCTTCAGTCAAGTGCTCTCTAAACCCGAACACGGGCAGGGACCTTCGCCAGCCGTGACCACGAAGCACGGCCTCACTTGCGGCCCCCTCTTCTCTAAAACAAGAACTTTAAGAAATGCTCCGAGCAGTCGGTGGACTGTGCCTCCCTGACAAACCGTATCAGGAGTCATTCAAGTGTGAGACTTTCTCGCGTGCGATTTAATTTAGTTGCTTGTCCACTTGCCCTCTCACCATGCACGGAGGGAGATCCCGTGTCTTATCTGCAGCACCATGAGCAGACACCATCCAGCACCACTGCGAAGAACGAGAGCATGTGGCCTTGCCCTGGGCACCCCGCTCGGAGGGAAGCTTGCCTCGCAACGAGGAGATCGAAGCCGCCTCCACGAAGGGAATCCAACGGCAGAAACCAATCAACGCCTAATCTGGTGATACTTCCTCTATGCAACATCCACGCAAAGACCATGCCTTGTCGCACCAGACCGTGAAGCCCGAATCCACCCCAAGTCTAGTCCACCAACCACTGAGAAGCCCCAAAGCCCAAACGTAACTGGCGCGAACATCATGATGAAAGAAGGCGTGAAAGGTAACTTACAGTAGACTTTAAGCGACTTACAGCATCGGATACTCTCGCCATCTCATCCTGGTCCAGTAGACAGAAAAGAAAAAGTTACAAAACGGGATGCTGAAAGATCACACAAGACCTAGACTGTAGTTCGCCGGATTACTTTTTCCTGCTGTTCTGACTATTTCGCTAGCGCAACTACTACAACTCTTGATCTTACTCTTACCCTTGCCCTTACCCTCACCCTTACCCTTACTCCTACTCTTAGTTTGCTCTGTTCTCAGAACGGATTAGACCATGCACATCATCATGGTTGGGCAATGGGTGCTTTGTTCTCAGAACGCAATGTAGACATGGGCGTCATCATGGTTGGGCCATGGTTGCTCTGTTCTCAGAACGGCGCAGACCATGCACGTTATGATGGTTGGGCCATGGATGCTCTGTTCTCAGAACGCAGTGCGATTTGTTCTGAGCACAGCACCCAATCTCGCCCGTGAGACACACCCAAGACCGGAAGACCCTGAAGAAGCAAAGAGCAAGGAAAACCATGGGGAAACGTGGGGAAAAATTAGGCGCATTAGCCTACTAAAAGGGTTGCCGTCAAGAGGCAGACCCCAAAAACACTGGCCGAAGGAGCGCCTCGATAAGCTCCGCCCCGAGCTCCTCGCTGTCCTTGGGACATGCTGCGGTCATGACATTTGTGATACTCGCCAGGCATAGCATTCACCACCAGGCTCTGTGGATGCTACTATCATTGCGCGCGTTGCCGTCAGCACCAGCATCTTCTGCATCGGCAACAGCAACGCGCATAATCATGAGACTGCCATATCTTTTCCTGAGGCGGCCGAAATGAATGTGATGGTGAGGGTGAGGATGAGGTTGAAAGTGAGAGTGGTGGCGGCGGTGGCGGCGGTGGCGGCGGTGGCGGCCGTGGCGGCGGTGGTGGTGGCGGTGGTGGTGGTGGTTGTAAGTTGTAAGTTATAGTGCTCATGACGCTGGTGGTCGTGCTGGTGGTGGCGCTTGTGCTGGTCGTGCATTGCTGACATTGTGGCAGCTGCTGCCGTTACTGAATTGACCACATGCTCTTGCCGCTGCCTATCTGTGCTTACGGCCGAGGAATCAGGTGGATGGCCTTATAAACATTCGTGGGCTTCAGGCCCACATTGTCGTCCCTGGACGAGGCCCCTGCAAGCTTGGCGATAACCGCGGACCTGAGATGGCCCAGATGCTTGGTACGAAGAAGCCTTTGTGTGGGGATGTCTGCTATTGTGGCTTGACCGTAGAGTGACTTGGCCCAAAGCCCAACTCCCCAGCTTTTTCCCTCGAAAGACTCCAAAGTCCGATGACGACTGCCTTTCTCGAACTTCGGCACTCAGAGCCCTTCCAACTGAGTCCTGCAATCCCAAGGCACCCCTCGGTCTTCTCGAGGAAGCGCGTCATGGAGTCTTCAAAGGACGGCTGCGTTCGCACCTCGCGTGGGAAAGTTTCGTGCATTTTCGGTGCCGGCATGGAGATCCGCCTGGCACAGCTCAATAGAAAAGAGCCCGAAACCGCAAAATCCACAGCTGGCAACACAGCTACGGACGGGTTAAACCCCCTTTCTGAAACATAGCCTGCGAAATCCAGGAGACCGTCGACGTCAGAGAAAGCAACACGCAAACGCCTAAGTTTACTGCCCCCCACACGTTGGACCTTTTTGCTAATGCACTGTCACACATCCGACCCTCAAATCCGTATGTTCTTCCCCCAGCACATCCCGGTTGGCCCGCTCTACTCTCCATGTTCTCAGAAACAATATGGGTAGTTCTCTAAATTAGGGTTCCTTTTTGGGTCCCCAATATAGTACGGCAACCTTATAAAGAGGACCCTAAACGGGACCCTAATTTAGAAAACTACCCATATCATATCCAAGTACACACGGGGATAGCAGCAGAGGGTGAAACCAGTGGCATGGCACCCCGAAGCCCCCAGCGGGCCCCAGCCTGTTTCCGAGAAGCGTGATTTAAGGCCCAAAAGACACCCAAAGCCCGAGCGGACCCCTGAACCCGAAGCCCTCAAACCCGAACCCTAAAAGCCCTACAAGCCCTCCCTATAGTATAGTATAGTATAGTATAGTATAGTATAGTATCGTATAGTATAGTATAGTCTAGTCTAGTCTAGTCTAGTCTAGTCTAGTCTAGTCTAGTCTAGTCTAGTCTAGTATAGTATAGTATAGTATAGTATAGTATAGTATAGTATTCAGTATAGCAAAGCATAGCATAGCATAGTAGTGAAAGTCCAAAGCTCCACCTGCAGCACTGCGAGGCCGGCTAGGAGCTTCGGCGCGGAAGCCTGCTCTTTCGCCACCTGGCTGGTTTTCGATGGTTTCAGTTTAGGGTTTAGGGGTTTAGGGGTTTAGGGGTTTAGGGTTTAGGGTTTAGGGTTTAGCAAAAGAAATAATAGGAACCCACTAGGCATGGTGCGATTTAGCGCTCAGGGTTGATTTTTTAGGGCTTAGGGTTTAGGGCTTTACGGTTCCAGGGCTGAAAGGCCTGGGATATAGGATTTCAAGGTGAGCCCCACGCAAACACAAAGGTGGCCGGACGAAAACAGAAACAATAGAGCTAAAACCCTAAACCCATTTAGGGTTTAGGGTTTAGGGTTTAGGGCAGTTGAAGCCTGAACCCCGTGAGCTTCCCGCCTGCTTCCTCACCTCTTCCTGGTCAATCTCATCCTCGGAAACAGTGTGTTATGGGGGGTCAACTAGGGATTGACAAAAACTGGTTGACCCCTTTCTCTGCTTAGGGTTCGGGGGCCAGGGTTTAGGCTGCTCGATCTTTTCATGTCTTCCAGCCATTGTCTTCACGCAACCTTTACTGATACATTCTAACACCCGACTGAAAGTCCCGGAAGAATCTCGGAGTGAAAGACCCCCGAATCGAAAGACCGCAGGCTTTCAACCCCGAGGAACCCGCCTGCGGCGTGTGTGCTCGCTGCCTCCCGAAAGCCTGAACGCCCTACGCCCCAAAAACCTTGCTTGGATTCTGCTCAGGACCCAGCCCGCGTCATGGCCGCATGACGATCATCTTCCGTCCGGTCCCGCGTGCTCTCGACATAATGTGCCAGCGTGACCTCTGAAACAGACCCAAACTCCCGAGGCCAGGGCGCCTCCCGGCAGCCCTCTATCCTGTAGAGCCCCAGCAACTGAAATCGACGGCTCAACCGTGAGATTTTCTTTTACAAGGAGAGCCTGTGGCACTGCGGTTTGTAACTGGGATGGAGCTGGACGCCGGAGCTTTGAGGTTGCGAGGCCGTGCCTCTGATCGCTCCGTCGCGTTGTACCTGAGACGTCGAAGCAAAGCTCTGGGCTCGCTGTGGGGGGTTGAAAGAAAATATTTTACTTCGAACATCCCCACCCTCACGGTAGTCTGTGGGGTTGGGCACTCCAGGGAGTCTCACGCTAGTCTGTCGGGTTGGGCACTCATGGGCACTCCAGGGAGTCTCACGCTAGTCTGTGGGGTTGGGCACTTCAGGGAGTCTCACGCTAGTCTGTGGGGTTGGGCACTCCAGGAGGTAGTCTCAGAGGGCGAGGAGTAATAGCTGACTTTAAAATCTAACAACCCCACACCGAGGGTGGGGAACAAGACAAGGCATGGGAAGGACCGCAACGAAACGTCTCGAGATTTCTACCATGGGAACTACCCACAGTAAGAAGCTAGATGAAGAATCAGAAAACTATGAACAAGAAGATGAAGAAGAATAATTATGCGAGTATCGACAATAACAACACATTGCTAAACAAACACGAACACTACGACGACAACAATGACCACCCCGACGACACCGACGACAACGACGACGGCCAACGACCAACTCTGAACCCCCTACCACCAACCACCGAGCACCAACCACGAACCACGAACCACCCACCATCGACAACCAACAACCGCAGCAAAACCCAACAACCAACAAACACCGACCATTAACGAACAGCCATCATCAAGAACAACAACAACAACAACAACAACAACAACAACAACAACAACAACCAGGTCAAGGAAAAAACACAGCCGTCCCCTGTTCTTGACCAGGTCAAGGACCACAAGAACAATAACAAAAGCAACAACGACGACTACTACTGCTACTACGGTGACGACGACGACTGCTGCTGCTGCTGCTGCTACTACTACTACTACTACTACTACTACTAATACGACGACGACAACGACGACGACTACTACAGTACTACGACCACGACTGCTACTGCTACTGCTACTGCTACTGCTACTGCCACCGCTCCGCTACTACTACCACACTACTACTACTACTACTACTACTACTACTACTACCACCACCACCACCACCACCACCACCACCACCACCGCCACTACTACTACCACTACCACTACCAAAACCACTACACACACCGAGATTCTACTACTACTACGACGATCACGGCCACCACGACCACCACCACCACCACCACTACCACCACCACTTCTTACAGTTGATGCTTAGATACTCAGATTTTCTGAGGCACCAACTCCTGCACAACTTATCGGGAGCCTCGAACCCTCGACCCAATCCCTGAACGCTGACCGTCCCAGCTGGGCCACTCCCTGAAGCTGAAGTCGGCAAACTCCTCACGAAGGGTTCTGCGGGACGATGCGCCTTGGCCGAAAGCGTCGGAGAACAAGAAATGGAAATGACGGCTCGTGTACGTTTGAGGCAAGTTGAAAGCTAGCTTTGTCATAACCATGATGGCAATCGTCGGTATCGAAAGCTTCACTGGCAACAAGATAGAAACTGGCATGAGCCTTAATTTCGATATCACCACCACCATTAGCATCTATGGTTAACCCCCATCACCACCCCCGCCACCACCACCACCACCATCACCACCACCACAACTACAACTACCATTATCATCATCATCACCACCATCACCGCCATTATCATCACCGCTCTCGTCATCACTGTCGCCACCGTTACCATCACCACCATCACATCGATCACCATGGGTTGTGGCAGCAGTACTGACTAAAACTACCTGTAGTGGCTTGTTGAATGATGTTGAACAGGCTCAAGACTTCAGCATCTCCGGGCCGCCGACAAAGCATCCGAAGCTTCACCGGCGCGTCCTACAACATCACCACTGTGCTCTCAACATCCTGGAAGCACCACAAAACCTGTGAGACCCCTCCAGGCACCACACAACCAGTCTAATCTCAGTCTAAGCCGAAGACAAACATGGCCAAAGACTTGCGATACAGGCTTCTGCGCCCCGAAATGCCCCTGCATGGGAACATCCTGGTCAACCAAGCAACATGGCGTGCTGTTGAGGGTGCAGGCTTCTAACCTGTGTTTCCTAAGCCTGGCGGCAGGACTGTTCCTGAATCCTGTTACAACTCTCACAGCGAATACCGTTACTTCCAATATTTCTACGCCTTGCTGTTGTTGCAGTTGCTATTCTGACATACCCACGAGAGAACAGGTCCGGCAAAGCATTGCAAGAGCAAGCCCACGAAAGTCACAGGCGCACGAAACTCGTGAAGCCGAGATCCCAACGGCAGGAGTCCAGGCGATCATCGCCTGATGCAATTAAAGTGTGTCTAGGGCTTCAGATTCAGAGTCTGAGAGTTTGAGTCTTTGGGTGACGCGACTCCCTCTCCCTACGCTCCGAAAACAACCTCTCGCCCCGCGCCCGCTCCCCATCCCCCACCCAGTCAGGTGAGGCAGCATCCGGCAGCAGTCCCTCTAAGGACACCAGAACCAAGCACCTGCGTGGCTGCGCAGGGCTTTTAGGGTTTTGGCCTGGGGGGTTAGGGTCTCACACGGGTTAGGGCTAAACGGCTTCAGGGTTGGGAGTACAGGGATTTAAGAAACTTAAACGTAAGTTGAGGCAACCTACTGCGCGAAATGCCCTCAGCATGAATGGGCTGAGGTTGGGGGCTTACAATGACGCCTTCGGTGGGAGATCTGGCTGACGACATAGGGGTCAACGCCCAAAGCTAAACATGTCCACTCAGATCGACTTGTGATCACGGGTGAGTACGCTAGCGGGCCGCTACAGTATCGACACCACATCGATCATCTACGGGTTTCGCCCGCACTGGGCACCAAACGGATTCACGCGATAAACTCCCAAAGCAATACATGTGGGGGGACCTGCAGGATTTGTTAAGCTTCTTTCCAGGACTCAGGAGACGCACGTCAACTCCAAGGATCCAATCACTCCCGTGGGATGAAACCTGCTGAGGGACCAAGAAGGTCACTTTCACTGTGTTCCACATCGCTGTGAGTCTTCACTATGGGAACTATCACGGGATTCTGCTCTTGCACGAGCTCCCACGGTCCTAGAGGCCCCGGTGCTGCGCCTGGTCCCGAAGTAAGGCCAACACCATTTGCAAATGCTGCTATCCTGTGCTACAGTTATGCTGTTATGCCTGAGACTCCCTTTGCCCTGACAATGCAGCATGAACATTGTTAACTATACTGAACTTAGACCCCTAGCAAAAATTATAATTTAAGCTGCTTCTTAGGGTTTATAGTAGCCAAAGATTTAAAATCTATTTCTAAGTACCCCTAAGTTAAGGCCTCAAAACCGCTAGGCCCTGGGACTCCGGCGGTTCCGAGTCGCTCAGCTCTGCAACCACGGCCTGGAGCAGGGTTTAGGGTTTAGGGTTTAGGGTTTTAGGGTTTAGGGTTTAGGGTTTAGGGTTTAGGGTTTAGGGTTTAGGGTGTACGGATATCAGCCGCGGATGCCCAGGCTCCGAGGCTTTGCCATTTGGGCTTCGCTTTGGGAACTCCGTGAACTGCCCCAAACAAACAATATCCAGGGTGCAACGGGAAAGGAACATCTCTTGCGGTAATTCTGAAAAATCTTTTGAGGCATCGGGCAGCTTGGTCTTCAAGACCACGTAGTATTGCAAAATGTTTTCGGAAAGTTGCCTATCAGGCTGGCCCACACCCCTATCGTTTATTGACAGAGCCCTACAACGCAAGCGATCAACAAAGGATAGACGAACCCTGGCCCTTTTCTGCCCGCTCGGGCTGGGTGCATCCAGGCCCCCCTTCCGAGAAGCTTGCTTGGGTTCGTCTGCCGACTGTGACAAATGATCCCTCACCCCGACGGCCATTTATGAGGTTCCTGTTGCTTCTACTGTAGAAAGGGTCACCTGAGTTTCACTCCAGATACCTGCTGTATACATAGCGAAATCGTCGGGTGCGCATCTGATCGATGCTCGCGCCCACTGTCACATAGGAACAAGAACGCGCCACCCTGCATCGCAGCAGTTACCGACAGTTCTCATTATGGTGAGTGTTCATATTTCCTTGAGTTACTCAGTTACTCCTCGTGGCTCGGGCGGAGCCGGCTGCGACAGGGCTGGCCGGACGGCGTGTATGGAGTTTCCCGTTCTTCCGTTCTGAACGGGCCCATGATTGCGTCCACAAGAACAATTCATAGAACATCATAGTTCCAACATCTCAGAACATTGGGTGGGTGGCTGTCAAGAACCGCTCAAAGCGAGCGTGGTTGAAATGCCAGACCCACTTAGCTAAGCCACGACCGATGGCTCGCAGTCTGCACTGGGCTCCGCTAAGGGTTCTATAAGGAAGGGTTCAGGACCGCATGTTCACTTGAGTCCATACGTCACTGCGGACAACTTCACGATCTGTGTCTCGTCTACTTGCTAGTGTTATCATGCGTCTGCCGGATGGATGCTCTACGACTTACTATCATAGTAACGACACACCACACGGATACCAACCAGCATAATTATGAGAAGAAGTGTGCTAAGACGACTACTATTGCATGCCATTACGCTTCCTCTCATCCTCGAGACTCGGACGGGTGTGACATGGCTCAACAGCAACTCTGGGAAGGATCGTAGTGGGCGGATGCAGGTTGCGAGGTTCGGATCTGCAGCTTGCACCGGGACTTGGACAAGGGGCCACAGTCCTAATAATCCAGAGTGACGAGGCCTTTGCTGCCACTTGGCAGCAAAAGCGTTTAACATTACTATATAACATGAGTCTCCAACGTACATACAAGTAAACTCGAAAACAAACACCACGTCCCTGGCAAAAAACTCAAATAACTGGGCTCCCTCGCCAGTGAATTCCTTCCTGTTGGGGAGACGTCACCCACAGGAAAGGCTGGAGACTAAGCGAACTGCCATGAAAATGAATCAATCTTGAGCGGTATGGAATGAGGTTATGTCAGCAACATATTGTGGAAAACCGACACACACTCATAACAACCCAAGTTTCGTCGTCTCGTGCAACTGGGTTGGCAAGCTGATGCCTCTGAACGAGTGTAAATGCAGTGCTGCTATCAGCTTAAAATGTCGAAAAGCTCCGGGATCTGGGATCATCTGCCCCGAAACATGACCCTGAAGCCCTGAAGCCTCTACAAAAGTGCCGCAATGCGAATCAGATGAAGACTACTCTCCGGAGATCCCGAAAGCTTCGACCATCGGCGATGTGTCCTCTGGAGGGTCGACCTCGGCCACAGGTCCGCATGGAGGCTTTGGATGTGCGGCTTGGTTTGAAGCCGCAGGCTTGGCATTGATGCTGATGATGACGATGATGATGATGATGGTGATAACGATGATGACGAAGATGAGGATGAGGATGGGGATGAGGATGAGCGTGGCGGTAGCGGTGGCGGTGGCGCTGGTGGTGGTGATGGTGATGAACCTGCAGCTGGGGGAGACGACAAGGGTAAAATGCCTCCGGAGACTCAACTAGCAGCCTCCAGACTGAGTTCTCTGCCAAGAACCTGCTGACCCCATTGCAAGACAAGTGCAGTAGCCCAACCCTAAAGCCACACCAAACCGAAACAAAAAGTGGAGTAAACTTTGGGCCACCTTGGCCTCAGGCAGCCTCAGACTGCGACGACCCGGTCGTGAGAGATCGAGCCAGTGGGGTCGGCTCCTGGCATTCTTGTCGGGTCCAGACCTCTCGGACTTGGTGGCTTGAAGGATGTGGGCCCAGGGCCTACGTGTTTTGTGGCTCCAAGGATTTAGGGCGTCCTGACAAGGACGGCGCTCATCACCACGGCCCTTCCCGTTCTGATCTGCAGCTTCAGGGGCGGCACGGCTACCCTCACCACAAGCCCAAGAGCAACATTGATAGCAACGGCACAGGTTCACCAGTGATACCCACGGCAAGCGGAACAGCGCAAGAGAATTGCGAGAAGACCGGCAGAACAAGATGCCTAAACCTCACAGAGGACAACAGACTTACAAGACAGGCAAGAGGGGAGAAGGGACCAATGATCTGGCCCGACCTATATGCCTCCACTCCCTGCTTCCCTCGGGCCTCCAAACACAGACACACCACAGCACTAAAGAAAATGGAAGCCTGGAAACTTGTTTTTTGCCAAATCCCTCGAAGCACCGATCCGGGTTGTTACCAAGCAGCACCTAAAGCCCCCAACTCAACACCACGAAACCACGAGGGAAACCAGTTCAACCCCATATGCCAGCCGGATGCCCAAACCCTAAACCCTAAACCCCCCTAAACAGACCCTAAAGCAAAGGAGGCCTCGTTGCCGCTCCCTGGGTCCGGCCCGGCCGAGCACGCGGCCTTTATGGGAGCTTGGGCTCCGGGTGTGGGAGTAGGGGGCGTGGGATGAGGGGTTTAGGGCCTTAGTGTTGTTCCATGTTGTTCCAATTTTGTTCCAATTTTGTTTCAATTTTGTTCCAACTTTGTTCCAAAATGGTTCAGATGGGATTTTTTAACATTTTTAACAGCATGTTGGTCCGAAAGAGCGGTCTGAAGGAAGGATCATCACTAAGGGTCCAGGGCTGCAGGGTTTAGTGGATTCTGGTTTAGGGTTTAGGGTTTAGGAACCGATCAGGGCTTCAGGATGTAAGGGTTATACAAGGCCCGGGATGGGCCAGGTCACAGGACTACGGACATGGGCTTACAGTGGAGACGAGGGCAAAGGGATTCGGGGTTCGGGGATTTACTCAAGTGGCTGCTGTCGAGGGTCCAAGGAGATTCGGGTTCAGGATGTGGGTAGTTCTCTAAATTAGGGTCCCTTTTTCGGTCCCCAATAAAGTACGGCACCCTTATAAAACGGAGCCTAAAAGGGACCCTAATTTAGAGAACTACCCATGTAGGGCTTGGGCTAGGCGGCTCCTTGGGGGCCTCTGGGCTCTCTAGAGGCATGCATGGCTGTACGTGCCGCCGTGTCTAAGGAGGCACTGTGTCGAGTGAGTTTCAGGCATTTGGGATTCAGAGCTTGAGCCTTGGGGCGTTAGAGCTTTGAGATTTTCAAGACAGGGGATGACAGTTTCGATCGCCGTGCAAGAAGCGGCAAGTCATTATCTCCCATTGCAGGTTGCTACATGCACCATTCCAGGATCTCAAAGCGAGGCTGCGCTGCTTCTGTATCTTCTGTGATCGCAAACAACAATGAGGAGCTGGAGCCATTGCTCACTTTCCCTTGGTCCCCTTTACCACTACTGGAATGGCTACTTGCATTGCTCTGACTCCGCTCACTAGCACGCTTGCTGCTTTTGCCTTTTACACATGTTGTTGCCTTCCCTTCCACATCAATACTACTATCATGAGCCTGACCAGTCTAGTTGCCGCAGCTTATCATTGTCACTTGTCTCTGTTGTTTGGTTGTGTTGCGGCAAGGCCTGCCAGGAAGTTGACCGCAAATTGGCTACCTGCAGCCAACACCTGAGGGGGCGAGAAGATGAGGATGGCTGAGGAGCTTAGCTTAACTGGGGCTTAAGGGTTACGAGCTCAGGGCTCTTTACGGCTCTTTGGTGCAAGATTGGAGATCTGCCTGCCTGGAGCTCGTCATGAACTCGCTCTGGTGACACCTCAAACCTTCGCAGCAGATCCTCGGCATTCCTCTTGATCTTGTGGCGCAGAGTCTTGCGTGGCCGGTGCGGCACCCTGTCCGCTCCGATGTCGTGCTCGTGACAGTAGCGACAGGCATCGCCCCTCGGGCATCCCAGCCGCGCGTTGTGGAACAGACATGGGCTGCAACCGCCATGACAGCGGCCCTCCGTGAACTCCTTCTGCGGAGCATAGCTCGCTCTGTTCCAGTCTGCCTCGCGGTCACCGTAAAGAAACAGTGGAGGGCCCTGAAAGGCCTCGCGAGCCTCGTGAAGGTCTGCCCGCACGAGGCTGTTCACTGCTCGTATGGCCTCCGACGAGGAGACTGACTCTGCCGCAGAGTCATAGCCGGAGTCGTTGGACTGCATCGCAGCGCACTTGCGCATGAAAAGTCAAAGGTTAATTGGCTGCGGTGTGACAGCACCCATGCAGCATCAGCCCGTTCCCTCGTACACCACTGCATCACATCGCTCAGTCGGTCTTGTGCTAGACTTTATCCCTTTTGAAAACAATGGATTCCTCTTTCAAGATTGCCTCGAAGATCTCTTCAGGCTGCCTGTCATCTCTGGGGACAGTAGCCTCGAGTTGCCAGACATGCGGAAGGAGCTGATGTGTCGTCAAATCCCTCTCTCGCCACTCAGGCTATGCCCCGAATTTTCCTCTTGACTCGTTGCACGACTATTCCGCTTGGAAGACCTTCTGCCTTCACGTAATTCAATCAGAATCAACATCAGCATGCCGCTATCGTCGGTGACTTCCGTGCTCTACCACTTCGCTAAGCACACACCCCTAGATGCGAAAAGAATATGCTGTCCACAGACACGACAGGCCGCATCCTAATCACAGTCAGCCTGGCAGGGAGGCATCTCAGGCTCAGCACTCAACACTGTGCTATGTAGAAGAGACCCTTGATGATTGCAAGCAGTGTCGTTAGCATTATCATGTCGATAGCATGGTTTCTTTCAGATGGGGTGGGTAGCGGCGACGTTATGAAGGTAACGATGGCAGTGATGTGTCACTTCAGGCGGTGACGTTGGTGGTGCTGCTGCTCGTGCTGGGCGTAGCCGTTGGTCATGGCCATTGCTGTGGCCATGGTCACGGTCATGCCGGAACTGACGGTCGACGTGACGAGGAAGGTCATGGTCGCTTTTCCGGAGATGCTGGTGCAAGTGGTGATGGTGAGCTGATGCTGAGGTCCCGGCTGCCAGTGTCAAGCACTCGGCGGCCGAGTCTACGCTGACCTGTCATTCAAGGCACAGCGGCGGCTTCCAGATGTCAGCATCCTCTCTCAACTAGCAGCCAGCATCGATGGAAGTCTCTCATCCCAGCACTTGCGCTTCTTCAACACCCGCAATGAAGACTTTGCCTATTCGCCTCACTGAAAAACTTGCATGGGACGGTGATTCTCATCCATTGCCCTTCTCGAGAACCTTTGATGCCAAGGCCCGACAGACCTGAAGCCATCAACAACAAAAAACAAAACGTGCCCCCGGCATCCCATCCATCATCCAGCCATATCCAGCCTTGACAGCACGAGGGAGCTCCTGCGGCTCCCCCCCTGGCGGGCGGTTGGGCTCCTAGGATTTCGAGTACTTGCAGTAGTGGACAATTGCAATGCTCGTGGTGGCAGCAGCAGTTAGCAGTCGCGGTGGTGGCGGCGGCGGCGGCGGCGGTGGTGGTGGGGGAGCAGGGATTGCAGCACAGCAGCAACGGGCGCATCAAATCGCAGCCCTCTTTGAAGCAGCGGTGCTGCTAGTGTGTTCGCTGACTAGTAATTATGGCTTAACTTGGTATGCCTGCCACAATTCGATTGTTATTGTCGTCACCACCGCGACGACGGTGGGAACGGGCCGGGGTGGCGTTCATCATGAATGTTCAGATGGTCTCACATGCTCGAGAGCAGACCCATGCACAGCTGCATAAAAACACTCGACCCGAGCCCATCATTCTCAAATCCTAAATTCTGAAAGTCTGGTACCCGCCTATGGCGGCTTTAAGCTCTTCGTCGATGGCCAAGTTCGCATTGGTCCCCCCCAACGCCATGGCTGAATTTAATACTGTGGATTTGCTGCCATGGACACACATGGTGGTCATCGTCAAACGTGCCATAATGTCTGTCAAACATGTTACGTCGGTTTACGCAAGGTGTTGGATGCTCGATAGATCTTTGCAGGAGTGGTTGTCCCTGGCGGCTGTGTGTGATGGGACTGGCCGGGTATGCGCGGCAGCGTTGACGAAAGTTCATCCCATGAAGTTGCGCCCGTGTGTAGACTGACCAGCGTCAGCAACAGAAGCGGCTGCGACACTGGCACCACCTGCCTATTAGCATTGGTTCGCCTCCGCAGCGGAAAATCAATCCTGAAGTCCGGCAAACTGCTCCTTACAGCCAAACTTGGACAACCACGTCAGCTTGCTTGCGACAACCTTCACAACCTAACACGGCCAAGGGCTTGCACTCGGTTCTTGACACACGTAAACCTCATGAGCTCGTGCTACATGCTCCGCATTGCAGGACTTTTCCCAACCGTTTAAGCGCCGGCGTGTCGCACTAGGTCTGGAGGCCCTTTCTGGCCTTCAGTGTCGTGAACCTGCAGTTACGGTTGCACAGTTTGCACCAACCCCTCCAGGCTTGCACCGTGTGTGGCACAACATGCTGAGACAGAAGATTGCTCCAATATTGGGAATTTTACTCTGGAACCTCCGGACAAGCAAATTATGGCAAGAAAATGACTGTAGTATGGTAGAGGCCTGGCTGATCAGACTACGGCCGGTTTTTGTGTTGTAACATAATCCTTGCATAATTGTTCAAGCCCGACCACCACCAATCACGCCTCACTGCAACTCATGCCATATTTGCACCACACTATAAGACCAGCATACAAGTGGTAGGGACAGTAAAAAAAGCAGGTTTGGTCAGCATCTCACGAGAGCTCCAGGTCGTGAAGGATTGAAGGATGTTTTGGATACCTTCAGGGCCCCCAGGGGCGGGTTGGTTCAGGCCAGTATCGCCACTCAAACGACATGGCAGCGGCTGCGGCTGAAGACGCAGGATAAAAAGAAGATCAGGTTAAGAATGAAGGTCTCACAGGGTTCACGCTCGTCTTACACTGCATACGATACATGAATGCACCGAAAATTTGAGGTTGTCGACTGTCTGGGCCTTGAAAGTCTTGCCGGCTTCATGTTCTTTTCGCACGGCATACAACACTGAATCCCTAAACCGTAAACCCTAAACCCCTAAACCCTAAACCCCTAAACCCTAAACCCTAAACCGAAACTTCCTACGAATTCACTGCTCACACGCCGTCCGGTCCCTATAGCACGAGAAAGGTCTGCGGCAGCCACAGTTGGGAAAGCCCTCCACATTGTCATGTCGTTTCAGAAAACACACACACACACACACACCGTACTCAACGACTGGTTGATATGATGCAGATGCGGAGAGGTGAGCACAATCACACATTAAATCAAAGGTCGCAAGCGCTGCGACCAGCATGCAAAAGAAATAATATGAGTAGGAAGTCAAGCCAACGAGCCTTCGATCGCCACCTCATCGTGGCATAGTAGACTTCGAACAAAATTCAAAACCTCCCGCCGCAATGGCACTGCCAAGTGTGGCGTGTTGGAAGCTGTGCAACCTGGGAATGAACGACCTGCTGGCGGCAAATAGCCTCGAAAGAGTGATGTCCCTTCTTCAAATCCTGATCCGCACTTTCGGCTCAAGAGCAGTGGCCAATTAACATGATAAAGGTTGCATGATACATCAACGCTTCACTGTCCGAGTCGACCTGGTGGCGGATCTTGAGCGAATCGCTTGGGCTCGTCATCTTCGGGATATTTGTCAAGGAGTCCACGTTCATCCCCCAGGATGTAAGGTGGCATGAGTCAGCAACAGCACATGTTGAAGTCCTACGTGAAGAAGTCCGAAGCTGCCAAGAAGA